ATTCTTTGTCCAGGGAGCCAAGGCATAGACAACATAGAAGGGGAGAGAATTTGTCTGGAGAATTGTAGAAAGGGGTTCACCACTCCTTCCCTCTCTCCAACAGTGATTTACCTGTGCTCCTGTTTCTTCGAGGAACTGTTGAGGTCTAGAACTTTAAGGGGGCTAGCATAAATCACAACACAGGAGTCTTGCCAAAATGAATTCAACCCAAGCCTTCTTACAGCCAAAGACAAGGATTATTAAAGATCCACCATATTGACCAGACTCTTAAGGAATCGGAACCTTTAGCTAGACTCTTAAGAATCTGAGCACCTTAATGGAGACAAGATAGACCTTATGTACAGAAAGACTATGGGAGGGATTTAGGAAGAATCTTGATGGGAGTGACTCGAGAGGTATAGAATGGGGTCTAGATTGGGTCAGGGGTGGGAAGTAGCCAGTGGCAGGAGGGCTGGGCTAGGTTAAGGGTAATAGAGAATTGGGTGTGGGGGCCAGTTGATGGGATTATACCTTTAGAGGCTTCCTTGATCAAGTAAGAGAATTTTCTGTGGGGCCCAAATTGGGACAAAGGTCTCAGCCCCAGCGGAACCATCATTCTGTTGTCAGTCTGGAAACCTTAAAATCTCTAACTCTTTCCTCTCCCCACACACTGCTAATTTATTATCAGGCCTCATCTGTTTATCTCATCTCTCTTTTTTTCCTTTTCTCATTCCACTGGCCAGTCTAAGCTTGCATTTCCTCTCCCTTCAAACTATTTCAGTTATCTCCCAGCTGTCTTCTTGCCTGTGGTCTCTCCAGCCTTTAATGCATCCTTTTCACTGCTGCCAGTTTAATCTTCCTAATGCTTAGTTCTGACATGCGCTTCTTGACTCAGAAAGAGCTTGACATTTATATTGTGTTTTAAGTTTTGCAAAACATTTTGCATACAATATAATTCATTTGAGCCTGCTAATCTTGTGAGAAAGGTGCTATGCTGAAAGGGGTTAATGACTTGGTGGGGGTTGTTAGAAAAATCTGAAACAAAAATCTACTACAGTGAGTGAGTAAAGTCTTTATTATGCTTCCACGAGAAGCGGGCACAACATACTTTAGTAGCATGTGGGCACTGGTTCAGTGGTAGAACTTTTAAACCTTAATAAGATCCATACTCCACCCATCAGGGCTCCTATTGGTCTAGTTCATCTGAGTTACACCCTTCCTGGATAGCCTGTGGAGTGTTTGTCCATGTTCTGTTAACTCCGCCCACTTAATGGGTCCTATGTTATTTCCGCCCTTGGGGTGTGTCAGTTCATATTCAATAAGCTTATTAAGCAAGCTGGTTGCAACCGGTTTAGCCTCTAGGGCTCTTTCTTAAGAACTAGTTGTTTATAGAAAAGTTTGGAGTACCTTCTGATTGGTTGAGGGACTGTCCACAAGATCTTGGAATTTCTTATCCACTGTGGAAGCCTAACCCCTTAAAATCTTTCTTACAGGGGTCACACAGTTCATAAGGTAGAAGCTGGAGTTCCACCTAGAGTTCTCCGGACTCCAAGTTCATGCACTTTCCTATACCATCCTGCAATGACTCTCCCTGCAGAAAAAAAGTCTGAACTCCTTATCTTGGTATTCATGGCCCTCCATAATCGGATCCTGATCTATCTAACCAGTCTCCTTCTGCACACATCCTAGCCTCTAGCCAAAGTATATACTATTTGTCATTCCTTTAATATATCCTGTCTTATTGCCTTTAGTAATATTATTTTTTCTTCAAATTGCTTGTTTAGCAAGGTAATGTACGTAAAGTGCTTTACAAATCTTAAAGGCTCTGTATCAGTCAGTTATTAAAATAGTAATTCCATGAATCTTACCTCATGTTTATATATGAAGCTTTGCAGTTTAACAAAGTTTCTGAATTAGAACAGCCCTGTGTGATTGGATCAGTATTATCATTGTACGTATGAGGAATTTGCTCAGGCATGCCTGACTCTATGTGACCACGTGGATGTTAGCCATAGGGTTTTCTTGGCAAAGATATGTGGTTTGCCATTTCCTTCTTCAACTTATTTTATAGATAAGGAAACTGAGGCGAGCAGGATTAAGTGACTTGTCCAGGGTCACAGAGCTAGTACGTGTCTGAGGATAGATTTGAACTCAGATCTTCCTGACTCCAGGCCCATTGTCTGTTTACTGTGCCACCTGTTATTGTTGGTCCTTTGTTCTGAAAGAGGATGATGACGTCAGGAAGGTGATGCCTTGACTTTCGAGTGAATTGGATTTAAGTGAGAGAGGACTGTGCAAAGTCACCAGCCTCACTTTCTCCTCCAGAGCCATCTAGGTCTAGTGGCGAGGTGTAGATCTGAAGGAATGCAGATAGCTCTGGAGGCAGTGGGAGACCTTGGCCTTTTTAACTAAGGTTTTTAATGCATCTCAATTTGACTGAGGTAACGCCCATTCAGTGATTAAGGCTAAGTCTGAAATGAGGCTGAGCCTGGCCTCTTTACCTAATTTTTAAAAAATCAGTCTAGGAGGGAAACACCCTCTGGCTTTCTGGCCAGACTTAAACAGTTGCTGTTTACATTCACTCTGAGCCAATCTGGGTCCAAACCCTGACCTAGTGGGGCTTGGCCTGGGAGCTGTTGTTGGCCAGTCTTGGAGAGCTTGAGTGATTTGTCTGTTAGGCAGGGTCCTGTAGAATAAAAAAAGGTTTCTGGGATCAAAATTTACATTCCTTTGGGCAGAGTACCCTGGTAAGGGTTTGGTACCCTGTGTGGACTGAGGGAATGGAAAGAAAGAAAGAAGGGGGGAGGGAGGGAAGGAAAGAAGCTAGCCAGGAAGGTTGGTTGGTTGTGTTGCTCAATTGGCCAGTTCTAGTTGGGTCCCCAGTGGGGCAGCTCCTGTTTTCTACTCACAGACACTGTTGCTCTTCATTCTTGAAGAGGGCCATGACATGCAAGGGAATTGGATTTGAGTGAGAGAGGGCCGGTGCAGTCACCGGCAGCACTTTAGCTGCCCTACATGTGAGGAAAGTGAAGCTCAGAAGAGTTAAATGATTTGTCCATAGTCATGCTATTAAGAAGTAGCAGAATTGACATTTCTAATAGCTAGGAGTTTTGACTCCACATTCAGTATTCTTTCTTCTGTACCATGCTAAAGTAATAAATACCCTTCCACAGCCCATGTCAAAATCCCATCCCAGCCTAGCTTAGAAGATACTTCATCCTTGAATCCTTTTCTCATTCTAGGATCATAGATTTAGAATGGACCTCAGAGGTCATCTCGCTCAGCCCTTTCATTTTAGATATGAAGAAACAGGCCCAGAGTGGAGAAGGGGCCTACTCAGGATAAAGCAAGCTGTCAGGTGGCAGTTGTGGGATGCCATCTATCGCCTTCTGTCTCCAGATTGCCCGTTTTTCCCACGCTGCCAGCTTCAGTCTCCTCCTCTGTACCTGGAACACCTTGTGGCCTTCCCTTAGCAGTTACTGCATTCTTTCTCATGTCCTGGTGGAATGTCAGTGAGGCCTCAATCTCAGCCTAACCTCCTGTGCTGGCTTGGAAACTCGTGAAGTTAGAGAGTGGAGTTTATCTTGGTATGCCCCATACCAGGAGACATCCTCTTGTTTTCATTCCATAAGCATTTGCTAAGCACCTTCTATATGAAAAACGTTGCCATAGGCTCTGGAAATAGAAAACCAAAAAACATTTCTTAAAAAAATAATCTTACCCTCAGGGAGTGGATAGCCTTCTGAGACAATGTAAGATTTTCAGTGATACCTAGAGCACAGGCGAGGGACAAACACCTAGGACTAGTCTTCTGCACTAACAGTTAGTGCACTTGGTTTTTTAAAAAGTATTTGATAACCTAATTTCAATCTGATATCTTTTGTGATACTTGTTAAAAAACAGTATTCTGAGAAGGGGTCCATAAGCATCACCAGCCTGATATCCAGAGGGGGCTAGGACACATCAGAAGTGAAGAAGCCCTGATCATCAGTGGCTTTATTGTAAAAAATTTCCTTGGAGACTTGACAGAAGCTGAGGATGCTAGGAGGCAAGTGGGGAGGAAGGGGTATGTTCTGGGCATTCAAGATGGTCTGTACAAAGGCACAGGAAACAGCCAACCCTGCGTGCTGTCTCTGGAGTGCTTTGCTATGCAGATGGACCACAGAGCGAGAAGGGAAATCATAGGGAATAAGTCTGGAAAGGTAGGCGAGAGCCACAGCAAAGTGTCTTCAGGGCAGGCCAAGCTGAAATGTTTTCTTCTTATCCCCAAGGAGGCTGGGAACCACTGAAGCTTTGAGAACTTCAGAGACAGCGTGGGTGTGCTTTAGGAAGATTACTTTGGCAGCTGTGTGCATTGTAGATTGGAACAGTGTGATGGGCAGCCCAAAGGAATGGAAGGGATTGCTATGGAGAACAGGTGCAGTGAATACTTGTTAAATTGAATTGTCAGTACACCAAGTAAGGAGCTGGATTTCGTGGGAGGTCCTTGTTGTGGAGCCATATAAAAGCCTCTATCGTGGTAACTTAAGTTGAATTAAAAACAGGTCTTCAGGGGCAGCTAGGTGGCACAGTGGATAGAGCATGGGCCTGGAGTCAGGAGAACCTGAGTTCAAATCCAGTTTCAGACACATAATACTTACTAGCTGTGTGACCGTGGGCAAGTCACTTAATTCCAACTGCCCCCCCAAAAAAAACCAAACAGGTCTTCAGATTTATAAATTTAGAGACTTAGTTTTCTGATCCTCAAAAATGGCAGTAATGAGAAAGGTTAAAATATGGACTCATTTTATTTTGGTTTTATCATAATAGGGAAAATTGAATTTCACTGAGTTGATAACACTTTGTTTGTAAAATTTAAGAATTGTGACTAAAATAAAGTCTTCGGTATTTACCTGATGCAAGGTTGGTTTTCTTGTGGTAAAGTTTTTTTATACACACACACACACACATACACATGCATACATACTCACAGATATATATACATACCATATATATTTATTTCTGTTTTTTCTTTTAAACAGCTATCATGGATGCACTAATTGAAGATGACATCTGTATTCTGAACCATGAAAAGACTCAGAGGAGAGATACCATCACTCCTGTGTCAATCTATGCAGGGGATGAGTCTATGGCTTCCCATTTTGCCCTTGTCACAGCATATGAGGACATCAAAAAGAGACTTAAAGATTCAGAGAAGGAGAATTCCCTCTTAAAGAAAAGAATACGATTTCTGGAAGAAAAGGTATTTTGCTTGCCCTGTTTTAGTGTCATACTATATTACGTGAAACTTTAAAATACTTGAATTACTAAAGAATAATAGTCTGTCTACCCTCTTTCTTTGCCCAAACTAGAAGTGATAGGGAGTTCAGATTTTATTGGGGTAAGGAATTCCTGGTGAGGAAATGCCCTTTACCTACAGGGAGGGCAGTAACTCTTCTCTGACTTACAGTTATGAAGAGTGAAGCCTCTTCCATTTGGCTGCTATGGAAGTTTCTTTGGAGGGCTGGCTTCTATTTCTTGCCTTTTTTTCTTTAGGCTAGAAGCTAGGATTTTTTTGGTGTGGGTAATTCTGGGTGTGGAATTTATCTGCATTTATCTGCAGATCAACTCTGGGCATTGATGGCATCATCCACTTCCCCGGGTCTTAAGAATCTGTTTGCTTATTCGAAGCAGTACTTGAAGCCAAGTCTTCTCAACTGAGGCCACCTTAACATTCACTGGGTGCTGCTTATAAGGTGACACTCACTGTATATTATAGAATCGTGAAGTATTTTTGGTGGAATATATTTTAAATATGTATTCATACTGAAATGGGTCTGTGATCTCTTTCACGCAGATATTCACATCAGTGTTGCCACCAACATCTTACATTCTTTTCTGTGTCTTCCTTCCTTCCTCTTAAGTATAAACCTCACGCATCATGTTCTTGTTTCTCCTGTTGCAGTAGTTTCTTTAGGTGTGTGTAAAACCTTTATTTTGTAATACAGAATGCTAATAGAGAACAGGGATTTTTATCTGTTACAAAGGCAAATTAGGTACAATTGAAGGAAAGCCCGCCAATGTTTAGGTAGGAGGCAGGAGCCACTGAGAATTTAGGCATGGCCCTCATCTGATGGGTGTGTTCTTAATTTTTCCTAGAGTTTAGTCTTAAGGTTCTGTTATTGTGGTTCTATTTTGGGGAATGTATATCAATGACAACTTTATGGTCTATATGTATGAGTGTATATGTTGTAAAATATTTCATAAAAGCCTGCCATTTCTGTATTTATAAATGATGAAACTGATTCAATATATATTAAGGTGTATGTTAAGAATTTTTAGGTCCACTGGGCTTTGGTTTTAGGATATGTGCTTCTCAATATTAATTTACTGTAATGTTTTGAATCTGCCTCTTTCTGAGTTTTTAATCTTGCCATTTCCATTTCCAAAAGTCAACATCTTCCACAAAGTGTTAGAATATATTGTTCAATCAATCAGAGCTCTGTTATCTTCCTGTAAAATCTTGGAAGGGACTTGCTAGAAATTAAGTGATTTTTAAAAAAATCTAGACTGATTACTTAAGCCTAAGTAACTGTGCCAATTAAAAAAAAAAATAACAAACCCTACTGGCATTTACATCTGAGGACTGGTTTTTAGAATTATGAATTTATAGAAAATTAGCATATTTCTTTAGAAAGTTGATTTTTAAAACTTGAATTTACGTGAAAACACCTTTAGGATTCAACTTTTCAAAGACAACATGACTTCAATTTATAATAGGTTAGTGGGAAAATCTGGTTTAGTATGTAGAAATGTGCTTTAATAGCCAGCTTTCACAATATGTATTCTCTTGAGTTAAGTATTCCTTTACGTGGCATTTTCCTACTACTCACATGTTAATGGCCTGAATAAGTTGAAGCAAGCCCAAAAAAATTGGTCAGTCTATTCTCTCATCAAATTAAATTAATATTTGCTGAATTGAATTGTACAAATGTTTCTTCTTGATTGCTGCTTTAATTTAAAGAGTTAGCATTCAAAGAGAATTTTATTGTGGAGATATTCTTCCTAGCAAGAGGTTGACACTTTCCTTTTGTATTTTGTTCTTTTAAAATTCTCTTAGTATGGATTGACTTAGTAAAATAAAACATGGAACTTTAATCCAATTATCCTTTAACATTTTTCCCCCTAAACTGAAAATTTTGAGGTAATCAGAGCTTTAGATAAATTAAAACCTCATTAAGTAGTATAAATTCTTGAGTTTTTCCCCCTATTCTTCTGTATTTAGCTTCTTGAAAACCGATTAGATGAAGAAACAAGCTCTGTAGGACGAGAACAAGTAAACAAGGCCTATCATGCTTATCGGGAGGTCTGCCTAGACAGAGATAATTTGAAAAGCAAATTGGATAAAATGGTAAGTCCTTTTGAGAAATGGAGTGAGATTAGCCGAATGCAAATGACTATTCTCACCTCTGCCAATCTGAGTTTTTAAAAAGATTCTTAAAACATGTTAAATTTTCTTTCAGGTTTTTTCTGTTATAAAAACAGATACTAAAAATAGATTAATAGGTTTTTGAGAATATTGTAGGTTATAGTGTAACCAAAAAATAGTGTAAATATAATGTAATTTCCTGAAGAAATTAAGACTGAATAAGTGAAGGGCTTTAGTTTTCAAATACGGCTGGCATTAATTTTTTAATTTTTTTTTAAAAAGGAATGACCTTGGAATGAAAGATAAACTTCTAAAATTCAATGAGGACATCAGGTATTTGATATTATCAATAAGAAAATTCAGCGAATAGAGAATATCCTAAATAAGGAAAGAAAACATGTAAATTTTTGACAGCTAAACTTCTTGGCCTGCCTACTTATCAAAAGACTAAAATACAACTTTTTTTTTTCTAATACCTTTTTGGAAACTAAGAGATTGCCAAGGTATGGTTTTTATACATGTAGTCTTGTCTTTTTTCCTTAGAATAAAGACAATTCTGAATCTTTAAAAGCATTAAATGAACAGCTACAGACTAAAGAAGTTGAGCTCCTCCAGCTCCGGACCGAGGTGGAGACTCAGCAAGGTAAGAAGCAGCAGCCCGACCCCTGGTGGTGCGGCTCTTGGGCATTGACAGCCTCTTTAACTGCTCTTGGAAAAGGCCAGTCAGAGGGGCCAGGGAAGACGGTTTGGATCCTTGTGCCCCAGCTGGCCTCAAGTGAGCCATTGGCCCTTACATCTGTAAGGCGAGGGGCTGGGGTTGGGCTATGTGGTCTCTGAATTTGAATCTAGGATATTGTGGATTACATTGTCAGATCCAGTCACAGTGGAGGATATTTTTGCTTAATTTTTCTTTTTCCTTAGATTTTACATAAAACTTATGTTAGTTGACATATTCATTGTATCCCCATTTAATTTTTGTATAGTGCTAATATTTAACACAAATTGTGCTGTTCTTTCCTCCCAGAAATAATAGCTGTATGTATGTGTGTTTGTATGAGTGTGTGTATGATATGTGAGTGTGTGTGTGTGTGTGTTTGTGAGAGAGGAGAGAGAGAGAGAGAGAGAGAGAGAGAGAGAGAGAGAGAGAGAGAGAGAAGAGATCATTCGTCTTGGTAGGACAATGAGAGCTAGGAAAACCAGATGGCCATGCACCTCCCTGTTCTCTACAGAATGGAAGAAGGCCTCTGGTGTGTATGGAGAGAGGGAGCACAGAGTAGAATGATTGATTACAGAATGGGAAGAAGGTATGAATCACTGCCCAGTTATTGAAATCAACCTAGGGTGGACCTAGAAAGTCATTGGATGAAACGGGTCCTGCCCTTGACGGACTAGGGCTGTGAGAGTCTCTGCAAGTCTCCGCCTTTGATTCAGTCCACGCAGGGATGCTTGTGCTCTAGGGTGGTGTGGGCGAGGGGGGGGCGGGGCGTGCAGCATCCTCCACTGGGTTTCAACACTGGAGGCACAATGGTGGTGCTAGAGGCTTACAGAGTAGGCTAGACAAGCTGATTGGAAAATTTTAATGGATTTTCACCATGATAATGTAGAATTTTAAACAGGATGAAAAGTTAACTTTTATCTTGAAACTATAGTCAGCTGTGTTTACCCATGACAAATTGTTTAATCCCACTCTGGCTCCAAGGGCACGCTCCATCCCCTAATTAGAACATAATGAAGAATATCTGCTGAAGGGAAAAATCATAAAATAAATCGTAAAAGCAAAAGAGTTGTTAGATTGCCTGTCTTTTTGGACCAGGTATACTACTGCTCTTCAGTACCATGAGATCTTTGAGACATGTTTTCCAGTTAGTGGTATGGTGAAAGAACATTGCACTTGGAGTCCCGGCACGGCTTAAATCTTGGCCTTGCTGCTTCTCGTTTTGTGACCTTATCGAAGTCACCTCATTTCTCAGAGCTATAGTTTCATTTGTAAAATTAAGAAGTTAAGCCGAGATAACTACACCAGTCCCTTCCAGCTGTACATCTGGTCATGTTCTGTTTTCGAGGTTGGCACTGTTTGCTGATGACTTAAATTGTTGCTGCTTCTTTTTTGTAGTGATGAGGAATCTAAATCGACCTTCATCCAACTGGGAGGTAGAAAAGTTGAGCAATGACTTGAAAATCCATGGTTTGGAACAGGAGCTGGAAGTGATGAGAAAGGAATGTACTAGTCTAAGAACAGAACTGCAAAAGTCAAAACACAAGGTATACCGAGTTCAGAAATTAAGTAGCCTTGATCTACATCGCCATGCAGGAGCCATTATTTTTCTTGAATCCCAGAGTTCACTTGACATACATCTGGAGAAACAACAGGAATAATCGCCTGTCATGAAAACTGTGTATTATCTTCTCATATAACCATATCTTGTGAATACCGTTCTGGCACATATTATGGGCTTGCTATGACCTTCGGATTATGTTATTTTGTTGAGTAGCTTACCAATTTAAACCTTGAATTGCATCAGTTTTCTTCAGTTAGTTGAAGAAAACTGGGGAGTGGTTAGCTTGGAGAAGAAAAGACATAAGTGGGGAGACAAGATAACTGTCTTCAAGAATTAAAGGACTGTCATGTGGGAGAACGATTTATTTTGTATTACTTGACCCCAGAGAGCAGAACCAGGGGCGGTGGCAGACTTAGTTCAGTTTATAGACGATATTCCCAAATCTTGGAGCTGTGGCTTGAGATCTCTCAGGAGGAAACAGGTCTCACTCATGGGACACTAGATGACTACATGTCTGAAATGCTGTAGAAGTGATTTTAATTCAAATAGTATGGACAGGGTGACATAGAAAGGCTCTTTTGAACTTAGAACTTCACTGTGATGATTTGTGAAATCCATAGTTTCCCAAAGTCTGTATTTCCTTTATATAAGAGGAAACATTTCAAGAGTTTGTCTCAAATTTTTTTTTAGGTATTTGTGTATCTAGATGAAATCTTAACCCTGGGGCCATGAACTTGTGTTTGTTTTTAATACTTTCATACTTTTAAACTATATTTCAGTATGGTTTTCCTTATAATCCTATATATATTATTCTTTTAACATTCTTCTGAGAATGGTTCCATAGGCTTCACCAGAATGCCAAAGAGATCCAGAAGAACAAAAAAAGATTAAGCCCCCGTAGGCTAGAGGGGGAGTGTCGAACGAGAGCAGGTAGAGATTCTGGTCAGGGCTGATTGACTTTCTCTTTGGTTTGAACTCTCAGAACTATGAAAGTAGCATCTTAACATATTTAGAGGCCACTTTCTGGTATCCTTAGTCATCCAGAACACATTATGTGAGCATTTTAGTACTTAAGTAACTGTTAACGGAAAGTTTGTTAGGAGAAAAGTAAAGAAAGGGCTAGATAATCCAGTTCGTTTAAAAAAAAATTTTTTTTTACATTCCTTAGTTTCAGGAATGCTGCATTGGGAGAGCAAATATGTTTGAATAAACCAAGTCATTAAAAGCATCAGTGTTGCCAAAGTATTTACAGATCTAGTTGAATAGTGTTTGCTAAATAAATGCTTTAGTTGTGTTGAATCTGACTGACTGGTTCAGGGATCATTTAATTGTGTGGCAGAAACTCTTTGGCTATCCCAGTTAGGGATTGCTGTGAGGACCTAGTTGCTGCTAACAGTTGTCACAGTTGGCTAGGATTTGTTGAATGCCCATCGCCAAAACACAAGACTGTCCACCTTGTGGGAGTACTTAATCTTTGGGGAATCAGATGTGACTCAGAGCAAGTCGCATTACCTCTCTGAAGGCCTCAGTTTCCTCATTTTTATAATGAAGAGATTAGAGTCTAATCTAATTCAGACTTGACAGAGCAAATCCACTTAATAAAAGGGATTTGTTCTGTAAAACTTGGACTCAGTCCAAAGACTCCATCAAAGAACTCTAGGTTCTAGGCCACACCCAAGGACCTTCAAGGCCACTTGTGACCTCAAGGCAGCAGGTTCCCACCCCTGGATTAGATATGATTTCTAATGTCCCTTCCACCTTCTAAGTCCTTTGTTCCTAATCGTTCTTTGAGCAGCTCAGATAGTTCAAGTTGGTAATGTCAGTGCTAATGTAGAGTTACTCTTATGATTTCTGTTTACCTTTACCATTGATGCATATAGCTTTAAAAAAAAATGACTACTGGCTAATGGCTACTCTTTGATTTACCTTCTTGGGCCAAGTAATTCCTTTTGTAAACCTTAAAGTTAGAGAATTTCAGTATTAGCCTCAACACTACTCTGCTTCCCAAATGAGTAAAGGTCCTGCTGGAGTGATCACTAAATCCTTTCCTCCAATGACTCATTAAAAGAATGGCATGTTACTAGAAAAGAGAAAGGGAGAGGTCTTTTAGGTTAATTAGTTGTTGCAAAGTGGTGTGGGACTGACAACCTGTATAATGTAGAGGATTTTGAGAAGGTAGGGGTATTTGGGTGTTCAAGGAGGATGAGCTAATCTTGGGGGAGGGGGAGCATGCAGAGCCCTCTTCAGGGCTGCTCATCACCTCTGGTGTCCACCTGGCATTTCACGCACCAGTGGCTCCAAGAAGCTGTAGCTTATGCAGTGGCCACACCCTGGTAAACTGTCTCAGCAGACAGGCTAAACCAGGTTGAGGATAACTGACAGGTCTCAGACCTGTTGGTGAGTTAGCAGGATGTCTATCCAGAGCATGTGAAGACTTCCCCTACCTGAATTGGATGGGTGGATGGGAACTGTTTGTTCCAGCGGCCATGAAGGTGGCAGAAGCGAGGCTCTGGGGAGTGCGTAGAGCTTGGTCAGGCATCTAAGAGGCCTGACTTTCGTCTTGCCACTGGACAGAAGAGAGAGTGAGGCTGATGATTTTGTGCGGCTCTGCCCCACTGGACTCCAGTTCACATGTAAATAAGAAGACATCTCTTTGTGATGTCATTGGTCCTCTTTGAAAGTGAAGGACAAGCAGCAGTGTCACTCCACTTCTGTTTGGGTCATTTGTCAATTTGTCATTTCTCCCTACTCTACTGTGAGCTTCGTGAGGGATAGGGATCATGGCTTACCTTAACCTTGTAGCTCCCTGAGTGCCTCACACAGTGCGGCAAGGATTAAATGTTCGTGAAGTGGAAGGATCTAGCTTGGGAGTCTGTCTGCATAGTAGAAATAGAGACCTCGGTTTGAGTCCCATTGGGAAATCCTATCTCTGTTTATTTCCAAACAAGATACTGTCCACAGTAGAGTCCCAAGATACTCAAATGGAAGATACTGTTAAAGAACGTTTTGAGATCTTGAAGCTAGGGTTCCTTAAAACAAACTTCAGAAAATGTTAGTCACTTCAAAGTTCACAAAATGACCTGATAGCAAAACTATTTCATTTTAAAATGGCTGTCCCCCAAAACATGTTGTGCATGTGTGAACAATTTTAGTCCCTAAATTTGTGCTACTGATTTTCTGCAGCCCACTAGATGGCACCAAAGGGAATAAAATTACCTCAAGTTGAATTTAGTGATCTTTTTTTCTTTTAAATTTTGATGATGAAGCTACTGAATTTTGTGCTGTTATTTCTTTGAGTGTCCTTGATTTGGTAGTGTTTGTTTCTCACTATATATGATGCACAAAACATTTCAGCATTTATTGCTACTTATATGTCAGGATTGTGTGTGGAAGTAATAGTTTCAGAATAAAAATAGTTTCAGAATAACTTCTGTAGTACTTTAATGTTTACCAAGCCCTTTCCTCACAATACTCCCATGAGGATACAAGTAATAGGAAAAAGGTTATGAAAATGAGACTCAGAAGATTTGGAGTTTTCTCTGGGTCATCTACAGTAAATAAGTGTAAGAGCCAGAAATCAGAGCCACACTTTGTTCCTCAAAGACCCATGTCCTCGTCGCAGTGAAACACCATCTCCCCCAATCCTACAAAAAAAAAAGGTCTGGAAATTCTGCATTTTCTCTCTTAGTTCATGTCTGTTATTTATTTTGAGCAACATGATAAACATATTTTGGATCAATCCTTTGTAAGACTTAATTTGCTTCTACAAACTTATACCAACTGCTCCACGTTAATCCCTCTTCACATGATAATCTTTGAAATACACGAAGACAACTATTGTGTCCCCTCTGAATTTCTAGACTAAATAACCCCAGCTCCTTTCATTTCTCCTCATGTGACACATTATCTTGGTTCCCTTCACTATCCTGGTTACTTTCCTCAGTACATTCTGCAGCTAATTGATGTCCTTTATAAAATATGCTGCCCAGAAGTGAAAACGATGCTGGGACCAGGGCAGACCACTCTCTTAGCCCCATTCACTCCCTTGGCTATCACTTCATATTGTTGACTCATTAGACTGGCAGTCCTCTAAAACCAGCATAATTTTTTCAGAACAACTATCTAGCCACGTCTTCCCCATCTTAAATTGGCAAAGTTCATTTTGGAACAGTAGAGCGCTGGACTTGGAGTTAAGCAAGCCTGTGTTTATATCCCGCCATTACCATTCTTTTGGGGTAACTGACCAGGTCATCTCACCTTTCTGATCCTCAGTTTCCTCATCTGTAAAATGAGGGGTTTGGATTAGGCAGCTTCCAAATGTTTCTCAAACTCTGTTTCTATGATCCTTTGGTTTATTCCTATTAAATTTCATCCTGATTAGATAATGGCCCAGTTTTCTGGGACTTGTTGGTCTCTTTTTGATTCTGATCCTCATCAGTGTTTAGCCATCCCTTCCTAAGTTTGTATCATCTGTAAATTTGATAAACATTACTGATGCCTTTATCCAAATCATTAACAAACATGTTAAAAGTCAGGGCTGTGCCTAGATCCAGAGCCCTTCTGCTATCAGCCAGCGTACACATGGACCCAAGACTATGCCTGACTGCCTTCCCATTTCTGCCATTTCACCAGGTTCAGATGCTCTTAAACTGGGCCATTGTCTAGACCACATCTCTGCATGGTGCCCACAGTTTTAAGAGATTTTTGTCAAATGCTTTGTGGAAATCTAGATAAAATGTAAGTCCAGCATTGCCCTCATCTACCAGTCTACTAATTGTCAAAAAAGACATCAAGGTTAGTCTGGTATGACCTGGTTTTCATAAAGGCCTTGTGGCCCTGTAGATCATGACTTCTCTTTCCAAAAGTTCACAACCTGTTCTTTTAAAGGTATATCCTAGAATTGTGCTAGAAATCTAAGTTAAACAGACTCAGTCCCTTGTAGACCCCGTTCTCTTGCCTTCTTTGAACACTGAGACCTTTATCTTCTAATCCTGAGGTGTCCCTCCTGTTCTTTACAGTCCACACTGACAGTGGTGAGGCAAACATGTATGTCAAGTCTGCACTAGCTTCCTCTCTTCCCATCTTCTTACTCACTCTGGACATCAGCTTTATCATTAGGCATTTTGGTTCTGTCCAGTCCAAAGATCCTTCTCCTTAGCGGAGACGACAGAAAGATGAGAATTGAGTAGTCCTGTCTTCTGTTGTCCGTTATTGTACCATCACAGCAAGCAACAGAGAAGTCTTTGATACTGCATCTTCTCTCCACTTAGTTTAAAAAAAAAAAAAGAAGAGTAGCTACTCCTTTAGTTGTTGTACTCTATTTTCTTGGTCAGCTGTAGTTTGTTCTGAGCTTTATTGCTTTTGATGACAGTTTTGCAGGACCACACCACATTTTTTTTCAGCTGCCTTTGCTTCTGTTGTCTGCACATATGTTTAAAACTATGTTTACCCCACATGTCTACATCTTACTCCGAAGACTAAAGGACTTTATCAGACGTCTTATTAAACTCTAAATAAACTATATACCTAGCATTGCCGTAATCTATTGATCTATTAACTGTCAAAAAAAGAAACATTGTATATCTACATTAGTCTTTTTAGATTTTCCCTTTTCCTCTGCATTAGAATTCTTTTTTTTGGGGGGGGGTATGTCTAGGATTTCATTTATGAGAACTTCCCTTCCTTCCTGGGCCAATTCTCTCTTAGAAATTTAATCAGTCAATGAGCGTTTGTTAAGGTGGCCAAGCATTCTTTTAGGTGCTCCAGATACAAAGATAAGAATAAAACAATCCCTGCCCTCAAGGAACTTATATTCTATAGGGGAAAACTGCATGTAAATATACAGACTATATAGGGTAATTTTATTTTGGGGGGGAGAGGGGAAGTACTAACATTTAGGGGATCAGGAAAGGTCTTATATAGAAGATGACCCTTGCACTGAGCTTTTGAGGAAACTGGGACTTCTGAGAGGCAGAAGTGAGGATAGAGATAAAAGATGGAGTATCTTTTGTGAGGGACAGTAATAAGGCCAGTTGGGCTGAACTGTGGCTTACAGGAAAGGGAATAATGTATAATGAGACCAAAAATAGACACCGGGAGGTGAAAGATTTAAATGCCAGAGGAGTTTGTGGTTTGTCCTAGATGTATTGACATAGACCAGTGGTTAAGGAAAATCACTCTGGCAGCTCTCTGGAAGACATTGGAGTGGAGAAGCCTGGGAGCCCAATAGAGAGTAATAAGCAGCTAAACTAATGTGGTTGCTCTGTGTGGGCCGAGAGGATACTGGGCGCTGGACATTCGTGCAATCCTCCCTTTTCCTGCTTCTGAACCCTTTGAAATCTTCTAGATTACTCACCAGATTGTCTGTTTTTGCTGTCATAATTTCACATGCCCACAAAATTCTTCTTATTTCTGTTTCAGCAACCAGTTCTTCCTTATCGGTGAGAATTAGAGCCATAATAGACTTTCCCCTTATTGGTTCCCCTGTCTGGCTGGATGAAATTATCTTTAAGGCAGCTTAGGATATTATTAGCCACTCTGTTTTTGGCAGAGAAGAAGCTCCATCAGTTGTTTGGAAAATTCAGTTCTTCTATCACTGTTACATCAGCCTCAGTGCCAGGCTTTTCCTGTCCAGCCCATTTAATACATCCCATACCTGACCAAGCATTCCCTCTATGATTTATATCTTTGACAATATTCAGATCTTCAGTGTCTGATGTAGCCCATAGCATGATCCAGTGACCACATCACTTCTGTTTCTTTCCCTGGATACTATCACCCCAGTGCTCTCCACTAAGCTTCCCCCTCTGTTCCTTCTGACTTGTGAACACATTTGGAAATACATTCGAGGGTTCTGCCCACCTTCTCTCACTTTCCTCCCCTCTATGCCTGCTGTATCTGGCATACTCTTCCAGAGCAACATTCTAGTTGGGGGGGTGGGGTTGTCTCCTCATAACAAGTCTCAGGTGGTATCTGTGCCTTCAAGTTTGTTGTTTTTTACTGTGCTTGGCTCCTTCTGTTTTGTGCCCTTGTATGCCCCAGTGTGAGGCAATGGACTTAATGTTCTTTTCCTTCAATTTTGTCTACCTCTGTGCTGTTCGTCATAGCTACTCTGTGTAGTATCAGGCTGGATGACTAAGCAGATGTAGGCCTCCTCCTTCTGTTTCAGTTTAAAGCAATTGGGTTTAGATTTGTAAGATTTTTAGGCGAATAAATACTGTTTTGAAGCGTGCCAGTTGTAGGTACATTCCGGTCTGGGCCAAGTCATTCATTCATTCTTCTATTTTAGCATCTGGTCCACATAAATCAAATTCCATTTTCAGACATCATTTTCCTGAAGCCTCTGCCTTCATCTAGCAGCAGCAGCTAAGAATTTAGGATGCCATAAATCCATAATCGTAGCTTCTCGATTCCTGTTGGCAGTATCTAAAAGTATAAATGGGCACTTCCACAAAAGTATTTTACTAAAATTTAAATTATGAAAACTTCAACTTTACTTTTGCTTTTAATTGAGATCTTTTTTAAAAAGTTAAGGTATTATCAGCTTAAAATAATTGTAGTTGGAAAGTTGAGAATTAAATGTTTTGTGAATGATTTATCCATATGTTTATAGTTTTATAATTTGTTTCTAATTAACATAGTACCATACTTGAAAATGAACTGCCTCGACTTTATTTTTATAATTTTTTTTAATGAAAGGATCAGTCTCAGGAAGACAATCTCAGCTTCTCAGCAGACTTCCAAAGGCCAAGCATTCCAAGGTATGAAACATCCTTGAATTTTAAAAATTGCAGATTGTATTTTTTAATGGTACTTTGCAGTTGTGAAGTCCTGTGATTGCTCATGTTTGCATGGATAGTAACTTGCTAAGGTAGGTCAAATGTGGTTTTATAATCTATTTCTTTACTCTTCATTTTCGTACTTTTGAAAGCTTTATTTTAATGCAACTAACAGAGCCCTGTTACTTCATTATCATCTCTCTATATATAGATTCAGGCATCAATTTACTCAGTAAATGCATGGCTAGAAAATTATATTGTCTTTTTTTTTTTTAGTAAGTCAGGTAATATCTTAAACATACTAAAGTATTTTACTACTTTAAAAAATCCTGTGTTGAATCTTTTTGTGAACTGAGTCAGCTTCTTAATTTTGTCTTTTTAAGATAGTAATATGTTTTTCTGTAGATCATAATTCAGTTTTATGAAGGTTAGACTTTCAAAAATCTTTCAGGTACAGCATGATAGTATACATTAATATAGCACTTTATGGTTTATAAAGTACATTCTTATTTGATCAAAAATGAATTATTAATAATTAAGGTAAATTTTTTACCTTGCAGATAATGTGAGATTTTATTATTATATTTTAATAAAAAACATATTTTTCTGCAACCACTTCCGTTGGAAAAGAAAAACAAAACGCCTTTAACAAATATGCATAATCAAATAAAACAACTTCATGTATTGGCCGTGTACAAAAAAATATTATTTACATCTGCACCCTGAGTCCTCTGTCAGGATGTTGGCAATATAATTCATCATGGGTCCTCTGGGATCTTCACTGACTATTGCATTGATCAAAGTTATTAAATCTTTCAAAGTTATTTGTCTTTGCTATGCATAAATTATTCTCCTGGTTCTATTCGCTTTACTCTGCATCAGTTCATACAGATCTTCCCAGGTCTCTCTGAAACTTTCAGTTTCGTCATTTGTTACAATGCAATATTACATTCCATTTCATATGCTATAATTTGGCCGTTCCCCAACAGATGGGCACTTTCTTAGTTTCTAGTTCTTTGCTACTATAAAAAGATTTGCTATAAATATTTTTGTGCATAGGATTTCTTTTCCTCTTTGTTGGATCTCTTTTGGCAGTAGACGCCTGTTAGTGGCATTACGGGGTCCAAGCCTGTGCGCATAAGCAGTGATCTGGGCAGATGTGGTTCAGATTCACCAGAATGTTTAGTCTGATTCACCAAGAGGTCATTTTCCTTTTTTTGTTGGTTTTCTTAATCTGGTGAATTTGGGTAGATAGATTTGTATTTATCAATTGGGGGATAGTTTTTATTGGTATAAATTTGAATCAGTTCCCTATTATCTTGGATATGAGACTACTATAAATTTGTTGCGTAGATTTTTTTTCCTCCAGTTATGTGCTTCCTTTCTAATTTTAGTTACATCGCCTTTGTGCAAAGTAATTTTTATTTTATGTGATCAGAATTGTCCATTTTATTTTTTGTGATCCTACCTACCTATCCTTTGATCACAAACTCTTCCCTAGTAACAAAATGATCTTCATAAAGTCCATGAACTGCCACTTCTCCATCTTTTCTCAGATATGCAACTTAATTTTTCATGGATTACTTAGCTAGATAGCAGCTTTTGGGTCTCGTCTACATCAGCCAGAGAGAGGTCCATTATATGACAGGCTAGAAGGAAAGGGCGGTGCTCCCGAAGCAGTCTGCATGGAAATGATTCGACCAAAGAGGCTTTCCTAAGGAGAGAGAAGCCTCCACACTCCAGATGTGGGTTTCTGCACTGTATGTATCTCTCATACAGCATAAAGCGTATGGAACTGCGAAACCTCCTAGCAGTCTTGGTTTAATTGCTACACGGATATATGCTTAAGTAAGGAAAGTGTGTATGACAAGTCATATGTTTTGTTTCGTTTTTTTAATATTCCATAAAAGAAATTAAAAAGTAGTAATACTTAAAGAGCTATAATTACTGAGAATAGCTTGTTCCCCTTACCCCAGCTCCACCTTCTGCTTTATCTTGTTCAGTTTGTTTTTAAAGCCACCTGTACTTGTATTTACTGAGCTGATTTTCTGTTAGGCAGTAGATGAACATACCTTACAACTCGTGTCCGGCTGCTTCCTTCCCTAGGTGCTAACTATACTAACAGTACTGGTTTTTTTAATTAACCCTTAGGAGTGATGGCCACTTAAAACTGCTACTTACTACTCATCTACAAATTGGAACTTTATGGAATTTTAGATGCTGCCGAAGAGTTTTTGGAACAAACTCCATAACTAGAGAATAAGGATTAGGGAAAACTTGGTGGTTAAAATTGCCTTTAGAAAAATCCTGGCTCTCGTCCCAGTGTGCTGTGTGTTCAGTTCCGTACATCTTCTCCAGGAATGTTGAGTTTGATCTAGCAAACTTTAAAAAAATAAAGAGAGGCTGTTTTCCAAAAAAGAAAAAAAAACACTAGGGATTTCATTTTGGGGTTCTGGGAGAATGTCCCTCCAGGAAACACAATGCAAACAGCCTTTTCTTCTTGCCTCTCGCCATTGAAAAAGGAAAACCAATAGAAAGAAAGAAAAAATATTTACATAGCATTTTAAAGAGCTATCTATATATTGCTATGTATTGATTTATATAGAAGAGAATCTCATTTGGAAGGAACTTCATTGGGCATGTAATCTTACCCATTCCGACCAAGAATTTGTACGATATAACATCCAACCATTACTTAACAGAGTGCCTGGAACATAGTGGACGCTTAGTAAATGCTTGTTATCAACTGACTCCCAATGCTTCCAGCGAGAGAAATGCCACTTCATTCTGGAGGCATTCCATTTTATTGTTTTACTGAGCTGTCAGCAAATTATCAGCCTAAACATGCCTCTCTAGACCTTCCCACCCATCACTTCTCTTCCCTCTAGAACCAGACAGAATCAGTTTGGCCCTTCCCAGTGACAGGTATCTCTCATAGCATTCTTTTCTCCCTCAATTCTTTAGAGCTACCTTTCTCATCACCGTCGGCCTCACATGTTCTCCAGTCCTGCCACTATCTTATTTGCCTTCTTGTTGAATGAATAATCTTCATGTTGAATGAATAATCTTCATGTTGAATGAATAATATTCAAATAATCTTAAAAATTGTGGCCGACTAAAGAGCCTGCTGGAGAGCTTCTACTTGAAATTATTTTAAAAGACAAAATACTGATTTTCCTGTTAAAAATGGTGCTTTTAATGCAGTAGATATAAGAATGTTGAATGTTTTGTTTTTAATTAAATTAAAGATTTAATCTAGGCAACTGAAAAAAGTAAGCTAGTGGATATCATCTCACCTTTTCCAGCTTTGTGTAAGCATTGGTTAAAAATCGTGTGATATGCAAATATCTTTAAAGGGGGGAAGGGCCTTTTCTACAGTAATATTTGGATCACAACAAATGTAGTGATTAAAAAAATACTTAGGATGTTGGTTTTATTGTGTCACCATCCTCCCCCATCCATCCTAGATATTTCTTTAATTTAATGACTGAATTGTCATTTCTTCCTTATCCACCAGAGGGAGGGCTTGTACTTGGTAATCACTTTAGCTATGGCACCAGTTTTCAGTTGCTGGGACTAAAGGTTCCTTCCCCTCACAGGTGTGTGTGAAACCTGCTAGCCTCGTTGTGAGCTTGGCCTAATTTTTAGCTACCTGCACTAGAGAACATTGGGAGTGTGTGGTCACCATTAAAACGGGATTGTTTAATGCTTTTCTCAGCTAGATGTTCTCAGTGGGTTGTGTGCGATTTGGATTTCACTGTTGTTGATTCAGTCTTGCATGGTTTGTCACATTCCCTTATTTTCTTGACGAAATCAAATAACATTCAGGTCATCTCCTTAAAACTATGAAAGCAAATTCATTCTAAAGTGTTGGCTTATTGTACTTGACATGAATTAACGTGTATGATCTGTGCTCCTTTGTTGCCATGAGAAGAATCACTGGGAATGCTCAGAACTGCACTGGTAGTTTGTTTCACATGTAGACAGGGGCCTACCTGGAACATTTATTGTAGCCAGCATCCTGGTGGTTTGCTGGGGAGAGCAGTGCCTGACTAATTTTTGTAAAGTAAATCCTCATCAGAAGCATGATTTATAAAATATGTACTTTGTTGAAATTGGTTTTGTTTGACTATGCATATTTGTTAGTAGGGCTTTGTTTGTCTTTTTCTCCCCAAGGAGGGGAGGAATTGGGAGGAGGATAAAATAATAAATGCTTATTCATTGAAAAAATAAAATTTTTGAAACATACCTGGTCGGCAAATGTAGTTGCAAAAGACTTAAACTACCTGTTTGTTTTGTTAGAGGTCATGTGACACTGAGATTGCTTTTCATTGGAGTGAATGCTACATGAAAAAAAAACCTGTAAAAATAATTATGTCAAAGTTAATTCTAATGTTTTTGTGCTGCCATTGCTTTAATTATTCCTGTGTAGCTAACCAGTGACCTATTTTTTTTGGCTCTCATTTAGCTGGAACTCTATCTGCCAGAAGGAAAACAATGACTGTTCATTAAAGTAATTGTTTTCATTCATTGAAAACATTCACAGATGCAAGATATGACCATTCAGCTTCAATGTATTATTTATAATTTTTCTTAAAAATGTTTACATGAGGCACTCACCACCTTAAAGTACAAAGTCTTGTAGAAGATAAGCTCTCGTACCTCTTTATTTTCTCCCCCTCTCTCTTGGATAGTGTGATAGGCTTTGAACTGAGTTGAACACTTGGTTCAGATCCCACCTCAGCATCTTACTCGTTTGTGAGACCCTACACAAGTGCCTTTCTTCTCTCTGAGCTTCCGTTTCCTTATTTTTGAAATGTGTGATAAGGCCTGCATCCCCTAGCTCCCTGTGATGTTCTGAAGCTCCCTGACAAGAACCTCCACAGACTGCTGTGCTCATCCCAAAGCACGGGGGTAAACGGCGCCATTCTTTGGCCTCTGGTCTAGGAGAAACTGGCTCTTCTCTCTTGGACTTTCATAGTCATCCAGATGAGCTTCTTTAGTTAGACACGAAACAATTTTAATACCTCGAGTGTAAATATATTTTACTTTGGTTTGGGTAGATTATAAATGAGTCCAGGCATCAGATGTGTCTAATTTGGACTCAGTTTCAAGACTGTAAGAGTAAAATATCAAATTCTGAATGTTGGTTTACTTTTGAATTAACTTCAGTCATAACTTAATAGGTGCTACTATAATAATTCACTACATTCTTTTGAAAGTAAAGTGTATTTTTTGCATTTACATTTTTGTTTTTAACATATATTAGAGTGATTTGTTTCCTTTTTAATAAATGACATAGTTAATGAGTCACTTAAAGTCCTAAGAAAAAATTTCGAGTTATGATGCATATGAATTTTTACTGTCTTCATTCCATAATACAGGTTTCTTTTAATCTATATTTAATCATGGTTTTGTTAAATTAGTTTATATTTAGATGTGACTTTTGACCGGAAGGTGATTATGTTCAGATCTGCTTTTATATTTATATTTTTAAGTCTGAAGAACTACCTGGAAAATGATCTTAAAAGGAACAGTAACCATTATGTTTTTTAAAAATCTATATTTCAGTGATAACATGCAGTATGCCTACTGGGAGCTGAAGAGAGAAATATCTAATTTACATCTTGTGACTCAAGTGCAAGCTGAACTACTAAGAAAATTTAAAGCTCCATCTACAGTCAAGAAAGGCAAGTCATCAGCAGAAACCTGATTTTAGCCATTCTGTTTGAAGGGCAGCTCGCTAACTTACTGTCTGTTCAAAATCTTACGATTTGAAGATGATAAACCCGAGAATAATGTGGTTCAGGCTCCTTATTCTCTTGCTTGGCTGTAGTAGACTCATAGTGGTCACCTTCACATCTAAAGGTGTCGCTGATGTGTTTTTTCTTTGGTCCTGTATTCTGTTCCCCTTGTGGCTTTTTTCTCTGCTAAGTGTTGCTTATGTGTGTAAGGCTGAGGTGTTAGGCTGACTCTGTTTGACCTCTTACCACAACTTCTTCACATAAGAACAAAAGAAGGCTCCCGGACTTGTGTTTTCTGAAGTCCATGGTAGGCGTACAATGTGCCAAGTAACAAAGTTTTCTCAGTTTCTGTATATTTTTGAAAATAAAACATTTTTTGGCCTTTTTTTCTGTTTACTTTGCCAAACACAAGAATTTCTAAAGTGTCTTTGCACATAGCTATATTATTTCTTGGAAGACCTATCGATACATTAAAATTGGTGTACTTCTACTTGCCTTCTCCTGATACAAAAATTGCTCTAACTTTTTACGTTTTATCTCTAATATGCTACTTGGTGACTCACATTTTATAACTTTGTATTATCTGATTGATAACAGAGTCCAAGTTTATTGACTAGGTTTTTTTTCCTTTTTAATTATAAAGATATTCCTTAACAGCTATAAATCTTATTCCTTTAAATGTAGTAAAATGTATTTTTTGAAAAATCCCAAGTTGGATTATTAAGAGAAGAATCTTTTTATAAGGTCACCTCCTAGCTGTTCTAATGTATAAATTGAGTTTTGCATGTCCCATTTTCTTTAAAATACAGCTAAACTACATTTTTAGCACAATTCTCTTTATAAGAGTTTTATGGAATAACATGTGAATATAATTTTTATTAAGTCAAAGTGAGGAAAAGACAAGCATTTGAAAAAGAATAAAATCCCTTTTATCCTGAAGTGGCACTGTGTCAGAGATTTGGCATTTAATAGCTGCATGACCAGGACAAATTATTTAATATCCTTAAGACTCAGTTTCCCCATCTGTAAAATGGAGATAGTAAGGCTTACATTTCCTGCCTCACACATTTGTTATAAAAACTTTTAATCCTTAAAGTATTATGAAATCATTTATTATCATCATTATCATCTTATAGGGGTTGTGATAATCAACTCATTCATTGGCTAGTTAAGACGATTTAGTAAACAAGCAAGTTGCAGTTCATTGTTTCTTTGGATCTTCCCTGGGCTTTGGAATAGTTGGTCTGATTCTTTAAGTGGGAAATGAATGAGGAAGTCTAATTCCTATCAAAAAAATTAGTAATAGTAGTCCGATTAGAAAAGTACATTTGGCTCTTTTCTTGGGTTGAACTGTATTTAATGGTAACCTGGAGACTATTTCTCTCTGTCTGTGACTACTTAGATCAGTAGACAGGCTTTTCCAGCTTAGGGGGGGCAGGGAGAAGGTGTTTCCTTCATAATTGCCACTGGATTATCCTGTGAATTCTCATAAGTAATATCATTTCTGGTGCTTAAGGCCATGTATTTTCCAAGGCTGATTTTCTCAAGTGTGAATGCAGGCTCAAGGGAAGTATTCCCATCCACTGAACATGCTGCTAGGAGCAGAAGCAGAGGTAAGACTTGCATAGGTCTTTCCCTTGCTGCCATGTTGAACTTAATGTTGAGCAGCGCTGCTTCCCACCCTGCCTTCTCCACCCATCCTGCATAATTGATGTAATTTATAATGCAGTTCTTGCTTCTTTCCAAATTGCATCATGTAGAGCTTTTGCTATGTATGACATTCTTTTTGGGCTACAAATAATTTTATCTTCTAATCTAATATCTGTCCTATAGTTTGGTGTAGGAAAGTTTATACTACCTCTGCCCCATTTGGAACCATTAAATGGGGAGATTCCACTGTCCTGTTTCTAGAACACCGGCTGCATACTATGCATATACTTGACTTTTGATTTTTGACACAAGATAACAAAGTACTTACCAGCATAATTTTGATCTGTTACTTGGGTGTGTGCAAACAAATTGTTGATATTCATGAAGAGATCTAGGCCCAGTTCAGAGTCTCAGAGTCCCCTGCTTCACATTTTCATCTAAAATTGGAACTGGTAAAAACCTAACTTGACTTTCCTTACATCCCAACGTAAGGATGCCCAAAGTTATTTGAACTATAGGTGTAAGAGGTATGTCAGAGCCTTCCTGAATTAATCCCCTCACTGCTATGCTCTTTTCCTTTTAAAATTAGATTATAACCAGTTACGTCTTCTGTTGGTTGTGCTAGAGCTGAGATCCCCGATAAGGACTGAATTTATTATGTTGTGAGAGCTTTTATGGGAGCCTTAATTGCTTTTTAGAATGAAAATATATAGAAATCTGGATAATTGTTACTGCCTTATGTACATCTGAACTTCAAGTACACCAAACTGAGTGACCATTTATTTTTATAAGTGAGAAACAAAAAAACCTTCACCAGAGCCCTGTTCAGATTCCTCATTGTGGTGCTGAGGTAGGCCTGAGCTCTGAAAAGCTCACCAGCAGACCCTGGCAAGGCAGAGAGATTTCACGTATTGGCTCAGTGAGGGCAGAAAGGCTTGTGAATGCACTGGCTCTGGAATGATGTACTTGTCTAAAGTACTTTAAATTACAGGTGGGTTATGATTAGTTTTGGTGGAAGAAAGAATCATATAAAGAAAATCACAGGGTGATTTTATTTTGAAATGTTGAAACTAAAATTGTACCAATTATAGGAATATAACATATAGTACACACTAAGGCCAAAAGCAAAATAAGTCTCTCTGCTTAAAATTTTTTTTATGCAACAATACTTCCTTATGTAGGGTAGCTGAAGAGATCCCAGGATGGGGAAAACTGAAATCTATATATATATTTCACCAATTCTAAATTTATATAACAATTTGAACATGAACTTGAATTTTTTATTTACTGAAATCAGAGATGAGTAATCTAGGAATTTTATATTTTGTTGTTTTATACAAGCACTTATTTGTAAATTTCTCTACAGATGTTCCTTTTTATTTAGTGGTTTTATTATATCTGTTGACTCTGGGTATTTTATTCTAATAAATATTTCCTTAAAAAATATTCTTAGAGATTACACTAATTTGTACAGAACATTCCTATACCCTAAAATTAGTTAGGTTTTACTGTATTTGTTTTGGATTGAGAGGTTTTTTTTGTTTTGTTTTTAAATGTGGGCTTCTGTTGCAATTACTGAATATACAGATATACAGTGGTTATAATTTTAAAATTCTTTGTAAGAAGCATGAAGATTCTTAGATAATTCCTCTCAAAGTAAAAAAAACTCAGTTGACACAGACCCCGCTATTCAACATTTGTGGTCATTCATTCTACTTAAGGACAGGTTTGCTAACAAATGAACAGTATGAACCAAATTCCACAGAAAACATTTAACCTAAAGAGAACCTTAGTACCCACGGACACATGAAAAGGGAATGTGCTAACAAGTGAAACAAATATTCCTCTGGTATGCCAGGTGTTTTTATTAGAATGAAGTTTTGTAAAACATATTGTCATCCAGTTGTATAGGACCTTGTAAAGGAAGTACTCTCCGAGATCTATTTCTATAGATCTCACCAGAGCCCTTCAGGAGGGAAGGCTGCTGGTCTCCAGGTCCTCTGCTTTGTCTACAAGTGGTGCTGGGATGATCCCAGGGTTCTTGAGCCAAAACCGTACTCTTCCTTCAGTATTTCATACTTGAAAGTAATGACTTCATTAAAAAAATTCTAAAATTCATACTAGCCCCTCCTATTAACCTAGTGACTAAACTTGTCTTCCCTTTGCAGCTTGTGCACCAGTCCAGTGTGTTGAAGACCTAGTGAAGGACTGCACAAAATTACATTTGACGTCTTTAACTGCAACCTACAAAAGACACGCTCCTCTTTCACCAAATGGTAAAGCCCTCAGTAGTGCCATGGGTTCTCCTCTGTCCGGAGATACAAAGATTTTACTGGAGAGAGCAAGTCTTCAGTCATGGGCAGATAATGAGAGAGTCATCCCTGGTGGTTGTACAAACTTTCAAGAACAGAATTCCTATGGCAGAAATTCTTTAGAAGACAATTCGTGGGTATTCCCAAGCCCCCCAAAATCTAGTGAGACAGCATTCGGGGAAAGTAAAAGTAAAACACCTTCCCCCAACCTACATCACCTGGATCGGCATAATCCAAACTGCCTTTTCAAGAACTAATTCAGAAGAGACTTGTGGTCGCCTTGGGAAGAGCTGCTGGCATCGGGATGATGTGCGAGAAACACATGCAAGGAACTGGTTCCGTTGTGGCATGGTGTTCTGTGACTGTCCTTGATTTCAAGTACACTGGGATTTGCACATACTGTCTACAGTCATGTAGTTAAGGTTTGTTTCCTTCAGCATAGACTAAAACACCTGTGCTAACCAGCTCTCTTTTAGCTAAGTATAGACACATGCACTACTTAATAAGTTGCAGGAATTCTCTTAGTGTTTTTAAAAGACGACTCTACCTTTGATAACAACTGCTGCAGATTTAGGCATCTCAGGCAAAGAAAAATGATAGGAACTGGGTTTTGAGTTTGAGGTCAGAAAAATACTGAGACAGGTTTTGTAAGGTGTCTAAATCATAAATATATTCACACAAGAATAATAGGAAGGTTGATGGAGTTCTGGTGCAAATCATGTAAATTACAAAAAACAAAACAAAACAAATCTTACCTAGGGGAGCAGCCAACTAGTAAAACATATTTCAATTCCCACTGGTCTTTTTATGAACACACATAGATTGTGGAAATATTGGGATGGAATAATTATTCTATGAATAATCCATTTCTGTATACCATTTTAGTTCAGATTTTCAGAATTAAAATTGCTTTCTAGGCCCAATGGTGCTTGTTACCAAAGTACTAGAATGCTCACCATTGCTTTTGTGTGATTTTAATTCTGTTTACAACCCAGACACTCAGTCATTGGGAACTGGCCACATTCAATAGCTCCCTGGAGCATTCCATTTAAAAGTAAGATTTTTTTTTAAGTAAAAAAAAAAAAAGAATAATTGGAAAACTTTTTTGCGGGAAAACTGCACATTTACTAATTGGGTGATAGATGGAGTCAGGTAGAAAATGTTTTACTATTTTAGACATATCAGTATATTAAAGGTACATGTGAGTAATTCAGATGCGTAACTGGCAAAAGGAATAAATTTTCCCCAAGTGACCACACTAGCTGCCTTTTCTTTAGTAAAGCAGTTTAATTTTTAAATGGCAATACATTAACCTCATGGAGAAGATTTCAAATTTAGTGAAGGATCATTAATTGCTAAGGAATTTTTGTGGGATTGCCAGAGTTTTGCAAGTGCAAACTGAACTGAACAGTTTACAAGTATGGAAGAAACAGGTGGCCTTCCAGGGAGCTTTATGGTAACAATCGTGTATCTGTTATTTGTAACTGATGCCATCCAGACATTTCCTCGTGGAGAGACCTTTTTGCCTTGGGATCTCGAGTGTTTCATGTAGAATGCCTTTTTTTCCCTTTTCAGTATTAGGCAGTTTGGTGTTATTTAAACTCAAAACTCAGAAGAATTCCTCAAGCCTCTTGCTGTATTACTGAACAGCATACATAAACAAGACCAGATATTGTCTGTATCTTTCTATTATCTTACTCACGTATACTGTCTTGTCTGTGATTAATGGAAATGGTGTCAGATGCTGGAATTTATTCTGACCAATGCACACAGCTGACTCAAGGGAGCACAATCTCTTGCAGAGTAATAGAACAACCCCAATATGCATAAAACAAATACAAGTCACTAGGCTTTAGCTGATAGAACCAACTACCTGTGTAATAACGAAGTGGCAGAAACTATTTCTCATGCGGCTGCATAGACTGTATATTATGTCTGATCTCTAATGTAGCTTTACTGGTGTTGCTTTTCCTTAACCAAAATTGAGTCTTTTTTTTTTCCTTTTTAAAAGCGGTAAATTGGGAGAGACACTGGCTTGGATAACATTCTGAACTATACAAAGATGAAATCATACTGTTTGATTTAAATAAATTATTTTTATTTGAATATGACTGGATGTGAAATACCTTGTGTCCCATTTACTGTGACATGTCCCTTCATCCTTCCTTTCCTCCTGCTCTCCTCCTCGGCGTGTTTGATGATGAGCACATTTCCCACGTTGGCTTTTTATACCAGTATCCCCTGATGTTGGGAAAATTGCTTTTTTCTACCAATATGTACATCATGCACTTGCACTCAGATTTAGAGAGGGCTTAAACTTTGAAATCACTGCTAATTAATGAGAGGGATTAAAAGATGAGTGAGATACAATCTCTCTATACTCCAGAAGCTGGCAATCTTGAAGGGTACAACAGCATTCAATGTTCAATTATCAAACAATATAAAATGCTCTATAGTTAATGATGTCTTTAGGTTATGTCTAAAAAGCAATTTTTAAGTGATTCCCCCAAGTACATAAGTCTAGTTAATGGTCTCTGTCTGCAAAATAAGATTTCTTTATTCCAAATGTCAAATCAAAAATGCAGTAGAGGTATGCAAAGATGTTCCAGTGATATTCATGGTAAGCTTCTTTAAGGAAAGCCCTTTTTTTCCACTAACTTCCATGACAGCCTAATGGAAATAGCACTGGACTTGGCATGAGAAGACCTAGATGCTGCTTCTCTGTTATTAAGCGCTCAGAATACTGTCAGCAAGTTCTGGGAGAGATAACAAAACTTAAGGTTCAAGTTTCCTAATGGTAGCGATAATATTAATAGAATACGACTCCTACAGTCAGGTACATATAAGAGAAATGCCACGCGGTGTTCAAAGTGGAAACCACTCAATACTGAGCGGTAGGAGGTGGGAGTAGAGGGAATCCATCAGGGAAAGTTGCGTGTATTAGGGCTGAATTTGGGCTGTGCTGCCCTTTGCAGGAGTAGATGTTTAATGAGTCGGTGATGGGAGACCATTTATTAAGCACCGCTTACATCGAGTCCTGGAAAATACCACACCCTTCAAAGAATGCACACTGACACCCAGAGGGAGATGGAAAGGCTTCGGAGGGCATTAGTGAGCTGCAGTCGATACATTACCGACAGAGAGCTGTGTTCAAGCAGCCTAAAGAATGTCATAAAAGAGAGTCGTATAACCAACGTTCTTCACTGGGCTTGTCCTGGTAAGCAAGGAACAGCTGATGGTTCTGGTGGCATCCATGCAATGTCAGGACACTCTCCTGGAGGTTTCTGGCAGGCGTGTCAGATGATCATCATCCTGAGGAGATCTCCAGAAGGACATTTTCAAGAATCACTATCATCGTGATCTGCATCAAGAGTTGTCAGATATACCTCAGGCCTCTGAACCAAAGTAATGCAATTGGGAAATAGTTAATGAAGTAAATAAAACAGACAATATTCACACATGGTTTTCTAAGTCAGCAGGCAGCCCAGAGGGACCCTTAAGTATGATTTAGGGACCCTTATTTGAGTTTGATGCCACTGATGCACATCACTGGAGGAGACAGAGATGAGGAAATGCAGCTCAAAGAGACTGAGTGCTTTGCCCAGCTGCAGAGCCAGTGATAGTTCAGACTCAGGATTCAAACCCAGGTCTCCTGACACTAGCTAAGTGCTTTGGATTTTCTGCTACTGCACATCGTTTTATACTCTACTGTTTCTCCAACCGACTGATGCACCAGGAAATCTTTACTCCTGGGAACACTTAGTAGAGTTTACAAAGCACTTGACATGTTAGCTGATTTGATCCTCAACAACCCTGTGAAGAAGGTGGTATTATCTTCATTTTACAGACAAGGAAATGGCAGAAGAGCCCAGGGTCACATGAGTCTGACATCTGAGGGGAGACGTGAGGTCGGGTCATCCTGCGCTAGCTGCTCTGCCACCCGTCAGTGTTGGTATCAACTGATTCTCACCATCACCCTATGAGGAAAATGCCACAGGTATCATCCCTACTTTACAGATGAGAAAACTGAGGCTGATGTTAAATGACTTGCCCAGGGTCACACAACTAGGAAGCATCTGAGGAAGGATTTGAACCCCTAAGTTGGTGTAGTCTGCCACGCTGCCACCTCCTTTAAAAAAATTCCTTTGTTTCAAATAGAAATTTGGGGCCATGAAAAGCCCTGGACAGATTATGAAAGCCAAGCTAGCCTATCCCCTTCCTGTTCCACTCTTGATCCAGCTCACTGCCCATTTGTAGTAACTGTCCAAATTCTGTGCTTTTTTTGGGGGGGGCAAGGCAATCAGTGTTAAGTGACTTGCCCAGGGTCACACAGCTAGTAAGTGTCAAGTGTCTGAGGTCACATCTGAACTCAGGTCCTCCTGCCTGCAAGGCTGGAGCCCTATCCACTGTACCACCTAGCTGCCTCTGTGCTTTCTAATATTGGATCAGCTGTAGGTATTGGTTATCCAACTTCCTATCTGGACAACAGGCATCCTTCATCACTTGGTTTTTCATGTGTGGACAGGCCAAACTTGAGGGAACAGAGGCTCTGCAGTGCTCTGGGGCTCGATGCAATCAACACAAGTAGTCAACAAAAAGTAAGCGTAATGGAATCATGTATTTGCCACAATTTTGGGTGAACCGTATGGCTATGAAGATGTGATCTCTTACAGAATGTCCGTTCGTGAAAGGCTGCCTTTTTCCTTCTAAAACCTTCACCAAAGATGCTCTTGAAGCAAGAATAATTTTTCTCAAAAGGTTTTCAGAAATGGGAAAGGAGGTACAGGGGTCAGTCGTGATTTATATTCTCTTGATCACTTTTTTTTTTTGAAGTAATATAGTCTGAAAATTTTTCCAAACATTAGAAAACCATCTTTCATTGTTCCTCAATGCCCTCAAATTTGTGTCATCCTCAGCATATGCCTGTTTTGTGTATCCTTGGTCCAAATGTGGTTACACTTCCCATCTTTATGTCCTTCAGTACATCCTGCATTTCTCCAGACAGCCCATCTGCTTCTGGGAGGCTACGACACAAATGTGGTGGCTCCACTGAACTTTACAGTGAAAAGAGTTTGTGACACAAAGCAACCTTTACAGATCTTGGCCAGTTTCATCTGATGACCTGGCTAGCTTCCTTCTTGCAACAACCTTTGTTTAGGCTGTTTTCCCTTGTGCTGTCTTAAGAGGAAGTACTACTCAATCTTCCACCATTTTCCTCTGCAAGATTTATAAATGCATTTCGATCCTAAACTCTTGCTACCCTTGGCTGTCATCACTTGCCACTTGGCAGGAGATTAAGTGCTTTGTGGCAGAAGCAATCTCTAGATTCTTTTGTTCTCTTTGTTGTGATAACTGATTTACATTGGTTGGACTTCCTTAGGAAATAGTGATAGTTCCTGTCAATGCCACTACTTTAATCTGTTTCCTGTGTTTTGGTGTCACCAGCTTATTGAAATAGGTCAGGCTGGAGTTGCTTCGATTGCATGGTATCTTTTCTCATTTTCATTCTTTATTCTTGCTTGATATTATTTTTATCTTTGCTCTAACAAATCAGTGAGTGGTCTGACTACCCAGCTGTTTCAGAAGTGATTTCCATGTCAGTAACCAGTTATGTCCTGTCTATTAAAATAAAACATGTTGCATTCTTGTGATGTTATTTATTGCTCATCACAGACAATGCTTCTTCACCTTTCTTAATGAAAGTATTTATAAAATAAAGGCAGGAGGCTTCTGTATAGTCTACAGGTCTTTGGCCTGCATTGTTTCTTTTATTTTTAACATCTTTATTCCAAACCATATATATTTATATTTATATTATATATATATGTGTGTGTGTGTGTGTGTGTGTGTGTGTGTGTGTGTGTAATGTCTTTATTCTAAACCATATATATATGGTTTAGAAGACGTTAAAGACGTTAAATTAAAAATAAAACACACACACGCATATGTATAATGAATTCAGCACATCATTTTCAAAACTCTCCTGCTTTTCTATGCGTTCTTCTCACCTGCCTTCTGTTCTTTGATACTGTTTCAAAGGCCTTCCTCTTTTCTTTTTCTGACATCATCATCATCACTACTCCTCAATCTCCTCCCCCAATAAAATATTAACAAAGAATACAAACCCTTCTAACAGTAAGACTATTCCAGCACAATGGATCCCCATGATGACTGAGTCTCCTTCTGACCCTCAGCATTGTCAGGATGTGGACAACGGGCTTCTTTAGAGGTCTGTCATAGGAAATGTGGACGGTCTCTGCCAGAAGGCGAGTTCTTAAGTCTTTCAGCACTGCCTTCCCTTACACTGCTGCTGCACTGGTAAAACCTGTTTTCCCACTTCCACTCACTTCCCCGCATCAGTCCCTACTTCCTAAGAGTCTCTGAAATTGTCTTCTATCAGTTCTTAGCAGTCTTTCTGACACAGTGGTTTTCTAGTCAGTTTGTGCAATTGCTCCCCAGTTGATGAGCACCAGGTAGCCCAGCCTGGGAATGGAAACAAATGAACCCAGAACTGGGAAGAAAGACTGAAGGTATTACTCTATAGTAAAGAGCAGTAGATTCAGATCCTAAGACCCTGGCTCAGCTTCCTGTCACCACCCACGTGACTGAGCAAATCACATAACCTCTGCAGACTTCAATTTTCCCATCTACAAAATGAAGAGTCCTAACTCTAAACGTGCTATGTATGATAAGCACGGGGCGTGATGAGGGTGCTGAGCAAGTCTGGGGGGAAAGGATTGAGAGAGATGGAAGGACAGTGGCCATAAAAGTGTTTCATCCACATTCAGCAGCTGGAAGTCTGGGGATGGTGGGGTCTGAGGTATAACAACTCCACTCCTTGGCAGTCATGAGGCAATAATGGATGCCACTGGGGCTGAGGAGGTTTGAGTGGAAGATTGGTGGTCAAGGTGAAATTTGGATGATGTCAGGAGATGAGGTGGAGAGGAATATTATAAGCCAAGATGATGAAATTGCAATAAGTAAAACTGAGTCTTAGCCACGAGGATAGGAAAAGATGATCTGGCTGATTGGCTTACTAGTTGTTGTCTCCTTCATCTATCAACCCATTTTTCCATTTTGATCCAAAGAAATTTCTGCCATATCTGGAAATCACCTAACCCCACACTTATTGCTTTGACAACTTTCCTTCCCTCCTCATTTACTTTAGTTTGAACTAAATTAGTAAACTGAGAGATATTTGCCAGTCTGAGATTTTAATTATTAGGTTTCAAGTAAATTAAGACAAATTAGTTCTTCACTGTATCAATTTTGGAAGCTTAAAATTCCACATAATTTGCTTAAAGGCACTTGCAATTGAATATCTTAAAAATCTGTTAAAATAGTAATAGTCATTTTAGTTCATAAATGAGCTTTAAAGATTTTTCCTTTCAAAACTACCACAAAGTTATCTAGGCTGAAAAAAAAAGTACATAAAAGAGGGAAAGAGTATGTAAGTTTTCTAAGGGGTAATTAATTATAATCACACAATGGCAAAACATGAACAAAGAAAGACTTTTTAAAACAAGAAAATCTTTCCAAATTGACCAGAGATCAAGGATTTGAGTACTTACTATGAAGCATTACAGGGTGAAAGGTGCAAGGCACAGCCTCTGCCCCAATGAGCTCATTCAAATTAAAAATATATTTAAACTTACTTTACATTATATCATACTTCCTCCAAAAGATTTGTATTATAAACTCAGTTACTACCATGAAAAGAAAGATAACTTAATGTATTTAAATAAACCATGACTTTGCATTATAATAGACGTGCATTTCCATCGTATACAACTCTATTCTCTTTCCCTTCTCTCTGATCCTTATCTTCTTGTCACATAAAGTGAGTTTCACTGTCACTCTAACCAAGCAGCAGCTGGCCAGCCAAAGGGATGCGTATTCAATGAAAACAAAAAGAAAGCTGGCTGCGAACACACCTAGGACAGAACCTAAGACCGATGCCTGAAAACAACCCACTCCTCCCCCGCCCCATCAGACTGGCTGAAGTTCATAACATCTGTATCAACCCTTCAGGCTAGCAAGTGTGAAAGGCGACTGATGCTGGCGCTTTGTTCGGGTCACTCCCCTAAGTGAATGGTACTCACACTGATTAAATACTGATGGAAACTCACTACGGAACAGGCACTGGGGTGAAGCGTATGCCAAGGGAAGAAGCCTTCACGTTTTATTATCAAGTTGTGGATGGAAACACACACAGCCATTCATTTATGAAACAGCTCAAGAATAAAAGGTGTTTAAGAACATAGTACAACAGAGGGGAAGCAGTGTGAAACTCTGGACAAGTGAAGGTAACAAGCTGCAGATCTTAGAGGTCCATCATCTGGAGGGAAAGACAGTTCTTCCATCTTATTCATAAAAACATTCCTTCCATCATTCAGTCATATTCTAACCAATGAATTAGAATTTTAAAGGTTAGAGAAATTTACTAAAAGATATTTATTTCAAACAACAAAAATATTTCCATGATATTAAGGGGCAAAACCAAAGATACTGGCTTCTTGCACCTCGTACTCTTGCCATTGAAATTAGGGTAAAAATGATTCATAATTAGCTATTTTGCTAAATGTTGGTAGGAAGCTTCTGCAACCTGTTCTTAGAATGAATTCCAGTTTTTCTGAATTCTTCTCTTTCCTTCAAATATTCCATTTTGCATTCTTCATAAAAATCTGGATTTCTGTAGCTATAAAAAGGAAAAGAAATTAGTATGAAAACCTTAAAAATCAAACACAGTAAATTTTCTTCATCATCATCATCAGTAGTATAGTAGTAGTAGTAGTAGTAGTAGTAGTAGTAGTAGTAGTAGTAGTAGTAGTAGTAGTAGTAGTAGCAGCAGCAGCAGTAAAGCACCTGGTTTATCTCAGACAAATAAAATGGCTATTTTCAGAAGAAAAGGGAAAAAAAGATCACACAAAATTGCATTTTTTTCCTTTTTAATCATATATTAAGTTCAAAAAAATTGAGTCTCTTTTCTTTTTTGTTACTCCAGTTCGCTTTGCCCTGCCACCCACCCCATGCTACTGTTATTTTATTAATTGTTCTCTTGTTTCGGCTCTCATTATTCTGCTTCAGTTCATAATTCTCAAGTTTCCTTGAAACCTACTACCTTGTCATTTCTAACAGTGCAAAAATATTAGATTACATTCATATACCACAATATGTTCAGGTATTCCTCAATAGGTAGACATTCCCTTAGTTTCTGTTCTTAGCCTTCTTGTATTCCTTACTAAAAAGTCTACCAAAACTATCTTTTGTACAAACAGCTTCTTCTATTCCTCTGATCTCTTTGGGTTGCATAAAAGCACAGTAGTAGTATTGCTGAGTCAGAATATGCGGAGTTCGGTGACTTTTCACCATAGTTCCAAACGGTTTTCCAGAAGAGCTGTATCAATACCCAGCTCTACCAACAGTATATTGGTATGTCTGTTTCCCTCTAAGATTTGCCATTCTTTTTTTCTGTCATGTTGGCCAATCAGATGGATATCAGATGGAATCTCAGAGTAGTTCTGATATTTCATTTCTCTAATGATCTGGGCCATTTTCATGTGTTTATCGATAGCTTGGATTTCTTCCCTAGAAGAAGCTACCCTATTGGGTAAGGGCTCTTATTCTTATAAATTTGGATCTGTTCCTTACAAATATGTACAATAAGACCCTTATTAGAAAAACTTTCTGCAAAACTTTTTTCCCAGTTATAGTTATTAGTTTTGTTTGTGCAGAAACCTTTTAAATTTTATGTAACTGAAATTGTCCCTCTCTTCTATGCTCTCCTCCGTCTCTCATTTGGTCCTGCTTTCTTCTCCTATCTGTAGATCTGAAAGGAAATTTCTTCCTTACTCCTCCAATTTTTTTTATGTTACTTTTTACACATCCCTTTGTAACTTACCTGTTTTGTGGTGTGGGATGTTGGCCTTTACCTATTTCTGCCAATTTCTGTCAAATAGCGAGTCCTCTAACAATGTCTTAGCAGGGGTGGGGAACCTGAGTTCTTGAGGACTGGCCAGATGCAGTCCTCTAGGTCCTCAAGTGCAACCCTTTGACTGAGTCCCAGCAGTTTTACAGAACAAATCCTTTTAAGGGGATTTGTTCTGTGAAGTCTAGATTCAGTCAAAGGGCCTCACTTGAGGACCTAGAGGGCCACACATGGCCTTGAGGCCGCAGGTTCTCCCCTCCTGCCTTAGCTGATAAATCAAGTAGCCTCAGTCTTCATCCTCCATGACCGCTGCAGCTCGATCACCCCATCTTACTTCAGGTTCCAAGATAATGCTCTTCTTCTCCTCTTACAGATCTAACTATTGGCTCTTGCTCCCCTGGCTCTGGGGACCCTCCTTTTCCCTTGGTGAGCGCATCAGTTCTCGTTCCCAGCCACTGGACACCTCTCTACCTTGATGTCCCAACAGCACCTCAAGCTTACCATGTCCAAATACAAACACATCCTCATTGTCTCACACCTACTCTTCCTCCAAACTTTCTGATTTCTGTTGAAAGGCACCATTAGTCTTCTAGTCAACCAAGTTCCCAACCTCAAGCGTCATTCCTGACCCTTTTCGCTCTCCTCTCCTTCCACATTATATTGCCAAGTCTTACTGATTCAAAGTTCACAACACCCCTCACATCCATCTCCTAATGTACTTCACATCACGTTCTTTCAATTTAGGCCTTTATTATCTCTCATCTGGATGACTTCAGTGGACTCTGCTTCTAGTCCCTTCCAGTCCTAACCCATCTTCTATTCAGCCACCACATGAATATTTCTATAATCCTGGAGGCGAGGGGCAGTGTGGAGTAGTGGATAGAGAGCTGTTCTTGTATCAGTAAGACCGGAGCTCTGCTTACCACCTCTGCCACAAACTGGCCGCACAATCCTGAACAGGTCCTCTGAGTGCTCTCCAGTCAAGCTAGCTTGTCCGGCCCTCTGTGCCCTGGATGCAATGTTCCTTCTCCTTGTGAGCTTGCAGTCCCTCCCTCTTCTTTAATATATTTCACTCCTCTTACATCACCACTCAGGCAGCACCTGCCCTACCCCTAACCATGCGTGTCCCCAAAAGCTCTGTCCTTTCCTCTGTGCTCTCTCTCACTGACTGTGTCAGCCCCCAAGGGCTCAACAATAGCCTTCAGACCTAAATATTCACCCTAAGTCTTTCTACTGAGCTTTAGTCCAAATCATCAGCTGAAGACTGGACATTTGCACCACTTCAAACTCAACATATGTTAAACAAGTCATTATATTCCCCCCAAAAAAACCTCCTCTTTTGCTAGCTTCTCTATTCTGTTCAGGGACTTCATACTTCTTTATTACCAGGTAAGTCTTTTTTTTTTTAATTTTTCAAATGAATTATTTAATAGGCAGGTCTCTCCCCTCCCCCATACTGTACTTGTGAAGTTAATTTTAAATCCAAATGTTATAACTTACATTTACCCCAAATACATTTCATCTTATTCAATCTGACCCGAAGTCCTGGTACACTGAGATGTTTTGGGAGCATATCTAACAAGATGAATTTTAATAGGGATAATTTTGAAAATTATTCTCCGTTATCCAACATGCATCTCTCATAGCTGTGTCATCGCAAATCTGGTAAGCATATCATCTCTGCCTTGGTCAAAATCATTGATAAAAATGTTCATCATTTACCCACAAATAGATCTCTAGTAGAAACCTTTAAAATTTTGCACTAATTAATGGTTAATATTTGGAACTGACCATTTAGCCTCTTATTATTCTATTCTTCTAACCCATGTTTTTTTTTTTTTCCAACAAGATAGCATGAGGGATTGTCAAAAGCTTTCTTGAGATTTGGGCAAATTATATCTACAGCATTGACCTCAGTCTATTAATCCTGTCAACATAGGAAATAAGGTTGGTCTGGCAAAAACTCTTCTTGAGGACATCGTGATAGCTTTTGGTTGTCACTGTTTCCTTTTCTACCTGTTCATTAACTATCCCTTAAATATTAGGTTCTAGAATTTTGTACAGGTAAGTCATCCTTGATTCTCCTGTCTAACCCCTCATATCCCATCAGCTGCCCAGGCTACTTCCATCTACAACATCTCAAACACAGATGTCCTTCTCCCCATTCCCACAACCACCACCCTGGTTTTCGAGCTCTACCACCTTTTACCCTAACTTTTCCAACAGCCTAATTGACTGCGCTGCCTCAAAACTCTTTCCTGTCCAACCCATCCTTCACATAAGTGCCAAGCAGATATTCCTAAAGCATGGTGCCAACCAAGTCACGGAACTCCTCAAGAGGCTCCAGGGGCTCCCTGTTACTGTTAGGAGAAAATGCAAGCCCTAGGTCTAGTCCTCTACAAGCTGGGTCTGGCATGTCTTTATCCCCTTCACATATTCCACACTACAGAAAAACTGGCTTCCTTGCCATTCTCTCTATATGACATGTCAGCTCCAGTTCCATGTTATTCCCCATTCCCAGACTACACTTTCTCTTGTCCTGAATGTCCTTCGAGGCTAGCTTGAAGGTCACTTTCTACAAGAGATGTTTCCCGATCCCTCTAGTTGCTAGTGCCTTCCTCTGACTCTTGGGAAACCACCGTATACTTCCTTTGAATCTATTCAGTATCTAGTTGTTGATGTACATGTTCCTCCCCCACAGGAATATACATGCCTTGAGGGCAGGAACTGGTTCATTTTTGTCTTTTTAACTCTTTGCTTGGCACACGGGAGACATTTAATAAATGCTTGTTGACTGGTTGACTCATTTGAGAAATAATCTGCCCCTGTGAACAGAGGCCTCCTGGACACTCTGAGTACATCAGAGGCAGAACTATTTGACATACATAAGAAAACAAGCACAACACGTTGATTCGGCTACTTACTGTGCAGTTAGGCATTCTTTTAATGCCGAATTTTCTTTCCGGCATTTTACCACCATAAGAAAGCCAGAGTCTTTGCAGCATTTGGTGAAGTCTGAAATGACAATTGGGGAAAATGTTGTGCAGCAAGCAAAGAAAACATTTTCATCATAAAGATGACTTTAATTTTAATAATACCGTATGTATTCGGTGCTGTGCAAGTAACAGTTCATACTCCAAAGAACCTAATAACTTAGCAGATCAGACGGCTTGATTTGGTTTGGTTTTTGGCCTTCATTCTCAAAGAGGCCCAAAATGATACTGTCACCATGCTGGAGTCAAGGTACAGTGCACCCGACTGGCTGATCAGACCAATACGAGCTCAGAAGGTTCCACCACAGGTCAGATACAAGGAGTCCACGTGAACATTTGAAGTGCATTTGTTTCTAAATTTGTGCATTTCACATTACTCTTGAGCTGCTGCAATTCTGCTTCACTCACTGAGCACAGTGCCTTCTTTGAGGTGGGCATGCCATGCTGGGCAGTCCTGTGCCAGTGATTCCCATGTCACGCAATCAGTTCCAAAATTCTTCAGAGAGACCTTGAGAGTGTGCTTGTATCGCTTCTTCTGACCACCGTGTGAGTGCTTGCCTTGCGTGAGTTCTCCATAAAATAATCTTTTAGGCAAGTGTACACTTGGCATCTGAACAACACGGCCAGCCCCTTGGAGCTGCGCTCTCTGCAGTAGAGTCTGAATACCTGGCAGTTCAGCTAGAGACAGGACCTCAGTCTATGTATTTGTACACACATGTGTTCATATACTTTGTGTGTGCACATTCACATACACATATGCATAAACATATATTTATATATGTATAGGCAGGAGAACAACTTGTACCCAAGTAAGGATAACACAAAGTAAGATGTGATAAAACCAAGAACAAATCTAAAGGGCTACAAGACACTGGAGGAGAGGGAGCTAGCTCTCTTTCACCTGTGGGGATACAAGCAGGAAGGAAGGCTTTAGGGAAATGATGGCACCTGAGCTGAGCCTCAACGGAAGAAATAAATGCCCACAGAGAGGTAAAGCAAGAACATAGAGTAGGGATGGCGGATGACGGGGGTGTGAGCAAGGAGAGAGGAAGCAGGATGGCATCAATTGCATCTGTGCCAATCACAGGTTTTCAGAGGGAGGCCTGCTCCGCACTGCCAACCAACAACATAGTGGTCTAGCAGAGCGAACACACGACCAAGATCATTTGATGTTATGGATTCTAGCAGGGGGAGTATTTGCTCTTAAATGTGGATGACGATGTCTAAAAAACGCCTTTTACTTCACGTAAAGTATCAACATCCAGGCCAGCAAAACAGCAAATGCCCTGCTTGATACTAAAAGCTGATTCTTCTCCAAACCTAATTCTCGTTAAACTGAGAAACCGACCACAGCCTGCCTTGGTGCTGCCATTTCTAAACTGTCTTTTCCTGTGCCATTTTATGAGTAGCAAATGGCAGACCAGCGGCTGTGCACGGCAGCACTGTTCTGTGTCCTGAGCAAATCTGATGAAGGCATACATTCTCTGCATTTTCTCACTTGACCAAATCTGCTCTTCAGGAATAACTGTGACTGGCCCGAAGCCTCCAGCTGTTTGTAAGGTCTTTGTCACTTGTTTAGCAACAAGGTTTTAATTAGGATCTTTCCTTCATACCACATAGCACATTAGCACACTTTCATATATCTAGAGTGATGTTGCTAATACTGCCAACTAATTTCTCAAATAGTATTCAGCAACAAATCCAATTTAAAATTCGTCTGCCTTTCATCACTCACAGGGCCAAATAATATCGCCATGTTAAAAAAGCCAGAACACATTGTTCTACATGCAAATGACTGAAACGATAACTACTACTAAAGACAAGTCTTTGAGAGTCTGCAGATCGCAGCCAGAGAGCAGTCTGACCTGCCTGGACAGAGGAAGCTTCCTCCATTCACCAAAGAAATCACAGGTCAGGACCAAAAACAAATGCCAATGCCTTTGGCAGATGCTGCCATGCGACAGCATGTCTGGAGGACCGTCAATATTGATTGCATTGAAAAGCCAATAAATACTAAGAATTTGTCTAATTGCTGGTCTTCTGAGAACTTAGAACCACAGAACTGCCAGGCTACTTTTCTCAAATCTCAAGAATGAGATTTTGCGCCAGCGATGACCTAATCTCTTCCGGTACCAACTTTTTTGCAAAACGCTAAAAACTCAGATCTGCTACCAACACCTTCTAGTCCTATGAAGAAAAAAACACTGGGAGGCAAAATAATCTCCTGTGGAATTAGTATATTTGAAATAAGGCAAAAGGTGGAACAAAACTGTTCTTCAGTCACGTCCCTGTGGACCATAGCACACCAATACTGATCGTGGAGTTTTCTTGGCAAAGACACTGGAGTAGTTTGCCATTTCCTTCTCCAGTGGATTCACGCAAACAGGTGAAGTGACCTGCCCAGGGTCACACAGCTGGAGCAAGTGTCTGAGGCCAGATGTGAATTCAGTTCTTTCTCCCTACAGGCTCCACACTCTATCTACTGAGCCACCTGGCTGCCTCCCACAATCTCAGATTTTTAGAATGGGAATGTTCTTAGATCAACTCTTCACTTTTCAGAAGCAAAACTGGGCTCCGGTGATGTTACATGACTTTTAGAGGCAGCTGGGTGGTGCAGTGGATAGCACACCATGCCTGGAGTCAAGAAGATCTGAATTCAAATGCCATCTCAGAAGGGGGATACCAGCTGTGTGACCTTGGGCGCTTGCCCACTCCATCTGTCTGCTTCAGTTTCCTCACAAAAAAATGAGAATAATAATAGTCTCTATGTACCAGGGCTGCTGTAAGGATCAAATGAGACGACATTTGTGAAGTGCTTAGCGCAGTGTCTGGTACACAGTAAGCACTTAATAAAGGCTTGTTTTCTTCCTTCTTTCCTTGGTCAAACAAGGCGGATACTGCGTGCATTTTGTATTTTATTTTTTGTAACTAACAGAAAGATCTCTAGAAAAAAAGTCACAAAAATAATAAAGGAAGACCTCAGAATTAAGTCACGTGATCTGGAGCGCTTTCGATCAGTATTCTCACAAGACTACAATTACAAGCAAATGCATATGTCATCATCAAACATGCACTGACCCGCGGGCTGGATGAGTGAATCAGAAAGCACAGCAAGCACTGAATATGGAGTGAGGAGAACCCGAGTTCAAATCTGGACTCAGATAAGTTACCAGCTGTGTAACCCTGGGCAAGTCATTTAACCTGTGCCTCAGTTTCCTCATCTGTAAAATGAGGATAACAGCAGCAGTGAGGATCAAATGAGATGTTATCTGTAAAGCACTCGGCATGGTGCCTGGCACACGGTAGTCTGAGGGTAGATTGAAGCTCAGGTCTTCCTGACTCTAGGCCCAGCACTCTATCCACTGGGACACCTAGCCACCCTGTGAAAGTCCTAAGCATGCAACCACAGGGCAGATGGCCAGACCCCAAAGTCCTGAGGACACATCAGTAATACTGAGGTGGGGGTGGGGGTAGGGGTGGCTGAGGCAGAAGAAAGGCATATGGGATGGCCTGAAGGTCGGGCATATGGTAAGAAGTCTGGGGTTCTTCTATCTCACACGAGGTAATAAGAGTTAGCGACTCCCATCACATCCAATCATACTCGGGTTCCAGGTGGCCTGAAGTCAGGGGAACAGATAAAGAGAAGGAAGGAGATGCCCCTGGCTGCTGCAGGAATCCAGTCCTCCCAGAATGGCTCCACATAATACCCTTTATCCTATCCAAATGGCAAAATAACTAAAATAAAACATCATCTCTGATTAAGCAAAGAAGAATTCATTGAAATTAGCTGACTTGAATAGTAATGTTTTTTTACAGAAAAAAAAGAAAAATGAGCCTACTTCAATCTTTTTTGTCAAGTATCATCTCTGCATGGGGCCCCACCAGGCATGTCTCCTTCTCTTGCTCTCTTCCCCTGCATTTAGTCATCAAAGTCTTACACTATTTTTCAAACACAATCACCATGACCCATTTAGAAATGAGGCATTCAATGCCACTTTTTAAATGGGCTGATATCAAATGAAATCTTATATCTGTTTCAGTCACTGACTGTGCTGACCCTTTGGGGCAAGTGCCCAAGGTCACACAGCTAGTATCCCCCTTCTGAGATGGCATTTGAATTCAGATCTTCTTGACTCCAGGCATGGTGTGCTATCCACTGCACCACCCAGCTGCCTCTAAAAGTCATGTAACATCGCTGGAGCCCAGTTTTGCTTCTGGAAAGTGAAAAGTTAATCTAAGAACATTCCCGTTCTAAAAATCTGAGATTGTGGGAGGCAGCCAGGTGACTCAGGACAGTTCTAGGCTTTGAAATCTGTACACTTGGCCCTAGTAGCCACATGGCTTCCTTTTTATCAAGATTAACAACTGTCAGGAGGTCCTGATGATTAATTTTTAATAAGAAAATGAATAATAACATTTATCCTGAACTTAGCATATGAAATGGAATTCTGCTTAGAATAACCTTTGTGGCTAAGTATCTTGATCATTCTTCAAAAAAAAAAAAGAACCAAGTTTTAATAAAATGATTTGTTAGAGGCAGTGGCACTGTGGATACAGCACTGGTCCTGGAATCAGGAGGATCTGAGTTCAAATCTAGTCTCAGACACTTGACACTTATTAGCTGTGTGACCCTGGGCAAGTCACTTAACCCTGAATGCCTCACCCCCAAAAAAATTTATAATAAAACAAAATTACTTGTTCTTTCCTGATATGCATAAAAATTGGTGTGATCCAGTTTCTGAATTATAAGGGGTTAAATGTTTAAAAATAAAATACTACTGGCAGCTGGTAGCAATTGGGAAGGGGGAAGGAAAGTGTTGAACTTTAATATACCCACTTTATATATAATTTAAACTCCATGTTTTTATTTAAAAGTGGTTTTTATTTGAAGATACATATAGCCAACACTCTGAATTCAAGTCCCAGTAGACAAATGCCTGGGTGCTATGTTGTTTTCTGTAATAATCTTCCCTTCTGGAAGCTGTGAAATAAAAAACAGCTGAAGCCAACAGGAGGTCACTC